AGGAACATAACAATTCATTAAGATTGTGCCTTTGTTCCCGAAAACAAGTCGTTGTCCCGCTCATTCGCATAACGGTATTCCCTTTGATGTAGCCGCGCTCCGGCGAAGCCCGTACAGGTGAGGCAGTCTATAGTCCCTGCCTTGCCGGCCATGTTGGCAGTATAGCTATGCAACCACGGCCGCTCTAATTCCGTAATCCGAACGATATAATAACACAGGTCGATGGTACACTTATATTTACTTCGAATGAAATAAATAAAGACCACGGAAATAATGCTTATTTTGTACTACGGCCAGGGTTAGGATCGAAATGAACGACCATTTGAGAATGATGCATAGCTTTTACCGTATTGCTGAACTGGTGCTTTGATACATAACTCCAGAGACACATAAAGCCAGTATGTTCAATACCCAAAAGTACAATAGTTAATTCAATTTTGACAATAACATTCGATATACGGCAATTTTGACGTAGGACTTTCAACTGCACTCGATAAGGCTTGTAGATATATATTGATAGTGGTAATCACACGACGTGTTCGATACATTTACATTACCTACATGTCATATGCCCGTCTAAATACTGATAATTAAATCACAGCACTCGAACTGGGTTTTGCAATGATTGTAGTGAAATATTTTACGAGTGAATCGGGTTACGCAACTTTGCAAGTTGTGCTACAAATAGCCGCACAAGCAATTGAAGCACAGACTTATTTAATTCGTGATTGAAGTAAGAATTATCGCTAGATTTATGATAACATATTTAAGATCGAACGTACATACTGATGTGATGTTTATGTTGAAGAAATGCAGCCGATTTTGTTCGTGAAGCGTAACCGTATCACACATCGGGCTTAAATGGAATGATACAGTAAAGGACGCGTTTTATGTAAAGAAAAAGGCTATATATATAAGAGGAATAACTTTCTGTTCAGTTTAGGTTATTGGGGGATAACTACAATGGAACCTGGGTAAATTAATTTATCTTTATCGGCTTCGCCGATTATTTATCACCCGATAACCTAAACTAAATAGAACGTTAAACCTTTAATATTTTAACACGAAACATTAACTCAGAAGGGATATTCTTACGACAGTACAGGAAAGATAAAGTTCCATTTAATTACAATTATATAAAACCCAAATATGAATAAAACACATTTATGTTAAATGCAATAGAAATTAAAAGCTTAGAGGACAGGTGATCGGGAAACCCCTTATTAAGAGGATTATTTAAATCACAAAACTATTAACAACATTAAAAACGATTGAAAGGTATATGAAGCAAAGTAGGAACGTAAACTGTCTTAACATATATATATATATACAGTGGTTCGTTTATGAACATTTACACAATCGGTTCCTCATTTGCAAGAATTGATCAATAAATACTGGACAATTAGTACCTCGGAACGAACGGAGCCGGGTGATATCGTTTACATAATATAAGTTGTATACGACATCGGGACGGTCTTATCGTTCGTTTTTAAATATCGTTTATATTGAGAGAGTTCATATTGTGTCTTTGATTATTATATGAGTGATCAGAGACGTATATACTGGCTTTATGTGTCTCTGGAATGATGTATCAAAGCACTAGTTCAGCAATACGGTAAAAGTTACGCATCATTTTCAAATGGTCTGGCCGTAGTACAAAATAAGCATTATTTCCGTGGTCTTTTTTTTCGAAGTAAATATACGTGTACTATCGACCTATGCTATTATATCGTTTGGATTACGGAATTAGAGCGGCCGTGTTTGCATAGCTATACTGACAACACGGCCAGCAAGGCAGGGACTATAGACTGCCTCATCTGTACGGGCTTCGCCGGAGCGCGGCTACATTAAAGGGAATACCGCTATGCGATTGAGCGGGACAACGATTTGATTTTCGGGCGCCAATGACTAGTTTTCGGGAACAAAAGGAACAATCTTAAATGAGGTGTTATGTTCCTGAAAATTGGTTGTTGTCCCTGAAAATTGGTTATTGTTCCTGAAAACTAGTCCATGTCCCGATAACTTGGATATGTTTTTTTAATTTAAATGGTGCTCCACTAATTTAGAGAGTGTTTCCGTAATTTTGGCCATGCAGATATGATTTAGATGGTACATCATTAAGTTAGTCCATGCATATATTATTTAGATGGTACGTCATTAAGTTAGGTCATGAATTTATGATTTAGATTGTGTTCTGTAAAATTCAATGCTTGTTGAAGTAAACTGGTAAAATTAGGAAGACTAAGTCGTAGAATTTATTTTTATTTTTGTTTAGTGTTTCCCAGTGGGTGTTACTGTAATTTCCACTACGGTAATAGAATGCCCGATAAGCAATACGGAAAATGACGACACGAAAATACGACAAGAAAAACACGAAGGGTGGGAAGTTCTTTAAGAGGTTTTTGTGAAATTATGTTAACTACCGATGCGCTTGACACACTGATATAGATAAACATAGCACTTGTATAGACAATGAATCTAAAAAACGCACACATAATTTACTTACCAATTAATGAAAATATGAAGGCTAATAGGAAATTGAGCAGGCGATTATCCATCACTTCACTACTGTTACCGTTGATGACGTCATCTAATGCAATAAAACTTAATTTTGAACTTCACCATACGCTCTAAGAGTATCCGCACCAAAGAAAAAGTAGTACCATTGTCCAAAAAGTAGTACCATTGTCCAAAAAGTAGTACCATTGTCCAAAAAGTAGTACCATTGTCCAAAAAGTAGTACCATTGTCCAAAAAGTAGTACCATTGTCCAAAAAGTAGTACCATTGTCCAAAAAGTAGTACCATTGTCCAAAAAGTAGTACCATTGTCCAAAAAGTAGTACCATTGTCCAAAAAGTAGTACCATTGTCCAAAAAGTAGTACCATTGTCCAAAAAGTAGTACCATTGTCCAAAGGGCTACATCACTAATGTGAATAGTCTACAAAGTACACATGAAGTATATCGATTGCACATCCTGTTCACTGTCAACACTGTATACTGTCAAGTACGCTATACAAGCTCTTTAGTGGTACAAACGATTCAGTATACATTCTACTCTGAAGCTCTCATCGATTTTAACGGTCTAATTGTGTTACATCATGAAAGTTTGTTTAACAAATAGTATAATGAGTGATATGGTATTACAAACACGAAACGAGATTTGATCATTGCACATTGTAATACGACGTATTCCTACAAGTTACAAACATGGAATATCGTTACGTCAGACTACGTATCAACTATATTATTTCTCTATACGTGGCCTCAGATTTAAATTTGTCACCTCATTCACCGACGATATATTTTGATGACCTGTTTTTTCTCTGTTTTTCAACATTTCAGTAAGATTTTTCTCTTAGTTTAAAGTTCATTATCAGTATTTTATTCAGTAGTTAAACATGTAAATAACATACATGATCTCAGAGAGATAAATAAACTTGAACGTTAAAGAAGTCCTATTTCTCTCTTGATATTGCCAAATCCTATCGTAATGCCAATAAGTAACTGAACAAATGTTGCCATGGTAAAGAGATGTACTATAAATCCAGTACGTGTATATTAAACAAAGGAACTTTATATGGATAATTATAAAGATGTTGATAAGATCCGGCCTATAGTTATATATCATATATATATATAAAAAAGAAGAATTATAACTGATAAAAAGATATAGGCAATAGTTTAATATGAACTGTTTTCATATATCTCCAATAGATTACAAAAGTGTGTTATTTTATTTTTAGTTGTCAGCTAACCGATAACATCAGGTGGGCTATATTTAAATATATATATATATACGCCATCGATAATATAACACTACGTTGAATATAGTCATAACTGGTTCATATAAGTTAGTTACAAATAATAATAGGTGACAAATATACTGTCGATGTATCCGGCAGTAGGTAGGCTGGTGGAGTTACAAACAAAAGAGATATTTGGTTCCATAAACAGTAAGGCAAGTTGGAATGCCCTGGTGGTGGTAAGTGAGGGCGCAAAAAGGGAAATTAATTTCTGGCAGAAGAAAATTTGGGATGTAAATGGAATAAACATAAGTAACATAACTGAGGTGGACTATAGTGTGTTCACGGATGCTTCTGGCCAAGGTTATGGTGGGTATATAGTGCAGGAGGAGAACTCTTTTGTTTTTGGAAACCATTATATGAGAGCGAGCAGAGCTCGACATGGAGAGAGCTAGAGGCAGTCAGGCGAATGTTGAACTCTAAAGGAGCATGCCTGGAAGGGCATAGAGTGCAGTGGCACACAGACAACCAGAATGTTGTCAAGATTGTTGAGAAAGGCAGTAGAAAGCCAGGTCTGCATGAAATTGCAGTCGACATGTATAATACATGTGAAGAGAAAGGTATTTGTATCAAACCATTTTGGGTTAGGAGAGATAGAAATGTGACAGCTGATGAATTGAGCAGAGTCAGAGATAGTGATGATTGGTGCATAGAGGATCGCACATTTAGGTGGCTAGAGGCAATTTGGGGAACTCACACATGCGACAGGTTTGCAAATAATTTGAATACAAAATGTGTGTGTTTTAATTCAAGGTGGTGGGTACCTGGTACAAGGGGGATTGATGCTTTTGAACAGCCATGGGGTTCTGGAGTGAGTCTATGGGTTCCTCCTCCAAGATTGATTTGTAAAACAGTAAAGAAGGCTGTAGATGAGAAAGCAAGGGGAACTTTGATAATTCCATTGTGGAAATCCGCACCGTTTTGGCCAAAAATTCATAGCAAAAATGGTTTTAAGGATTTTGTGAAAGAATTCAAAGTATTGGACTCTAGTATTGTTAAAAAGGGGCTTGGAAAGAATGGTATTTTTGGGGACAGGAAGACGAGATTTAAAATGGTGGCATTGCGTATCATAGCATAAATGATTGTATGTTTGCAGGCCTAGGGATCCAGGAGGCTATACATACTGAAGTGTCAAAAGGAGGATGTTTGACGGGGAACATAAGGAACCTGGCGGAGAGTATGTCTACACATTTAGTTAAATCCAGAAGTGACAGCACAAATTCAAAATATTATAGAGATTTTCAAAAGTGGGAAAGATTTATCACAGCAGAGGGTGCATGTGCTATTCCAGGACAACCTATCCATGTGGCTTTATACATCACAAAGTTGCTGAACGATCATGTTTCATTCACATCTATACAGGGTGCATTCTACGCCATAAAGTGGGCACACAAGTTACGAGGATTAATGGATCCAACTGACAATCATTTTGTGTCTGGTATTTTGGAGTCCGCCAAGAGACAGAACAGTGTACCAGTTAAGAAGAAAGACATTATTTCCACAGAAAATATCATTGATTTATGTAAGAAGTATGAAAGTTCGAGAGATTTACTTGTACTTAGGGATCTATCCATGATTACTTTGTGTTATGCAGGATTTTTAAGGTTCAATGAGGTGAGCAATTTGAGAGGTACAGATGTTAATTTTACAGAGGGGTATTTGGAATTATATATTCAGAAAAGTAAGACCGACCAGTACAGGCAGGGTAACAAGGTCCTGGTAGCAGAAGGGGTCACAGTAGCTTGTCCATGTAAGATGCTAAGAAAGTATATTGAAGTAGCAGATATAGATTTAAAGGAAAAAGATTTTTTATTTAAACCAGCTTACAGATCAGGTTCGAAGTGTGCACTGATACACAAGAGCAAGGCCATTAGTTATACCAGAGCAAGGGAGACAATTCTAGCAAGACTAAAGGAAGTGTGTGGTGCACAGGCAAATTTAGGTTTGCACTCGATGAGAGCCTCCGGGGCTTCCACAGTGGCTAGATCAACAGTTAACGAGAGGTGTTGGAAGAGACACGGTCGCTGGAGAAGCGACAGGTCTAAAGATGGTTACGTTGAGGATTCTGTTGAGAAGCGGTTGGAGGTAACCAAGGTTTTAAATTTGTAGCTATTTATTTTTTATTATTACATTATCAAAAATATACGAATCAGATAGAGCTAGTAGTCGGTCATTCAAAGTTCCCGTTCTTTGATTTTTCTAGCAGTGCATCTGTGTGACAGGCAATCGCAGGTATGGTGTTGTTGGTTTATTGTAAGGTAGGGCACAGTAAGGTTAATTAAGTGACAGTGTAGAACAGACTGGTATTTTCCTGCGGTTCGCAGTAAAAGCAGGAAATATATGTCTGTTCGTATTCGCTAGGAGCTGTAATCTGATTGGCTGGGTGTAACGAGGTGCTGTTGCACGTGCAGGTGACGGTATAGGGTGGGAGAGTGTGAAAGCTGGTCATTCTAGCCTGTTGAACCTGACCCAGACGGTTGGGTTTCTTTCATTAATATTTTTCAGCAAATATTATAAATAGTATTAATATTTTAATACTTGTAGTGTATAGGATGAGTACAGATGCACGGATAGTTTGTGTCGAGAACTAGACTGCTGACTGTAGCGATAAATAATTTAATTACATTTTGTGGCTTTTGTCCATAAATCAAAGTTAAACGATTGCAGATATTTTAGAGAATAAGCTATCAGGATTTATATAGTGATAGGCGTCCACGGTTTTCCAGAGTTTTTGGGCTCATGTAGTTTTCTCTCTGGTTTTTAGCCCAGGATGCATTTCAACCTACAAGGTGCATTTGCAAGGTTTAGTTGATAGGATTGTACAAAGCGAAAGATATGCATGTATGGGATTTCAATGTGTATTAATTTGATATGATCATGATTAAACGCCGCTCCAGTGCTTCTGTGTGACAGGCAATTGTAAGGTAGGGCACAGTAAGGTTAATTAAGTGACAGTGTAGAACAGACCTGGTTCATATAAGTTAGTTACAAATAATAATAGGTGACAAATAAGCATTAGCCCGAGAGGGCAGATAGACCCAGCGGTCAGTATTTTTTGTTATGTTATTTTACTTTCTATGTTTTTCTTCGAAAGGAATTGTTACTTTATCAACTACTGTGTATATTGGCATAAATCGACGGACTATCAACTACTGTGTATATTGGTATAAATCGACGGACTATCAACTACTGTGTATACTGGTATAAATCGACGGACTATCGACTACTGTGTATGTTTGTATAAATCGACGGACTATCGACTACTGTGTATATTGGTATAAATCGACGGACTATCAACTACTGTCTATATTGGTATAAATCGACGGACTATCGACTACTGTGTATGTTTGTATAAATAGACGGACTATCGACTACTGTGTATACTGGTATAAATCGACGGACTCTCGACTACTGTGTATGTTTGTATAAATAGACGGACTATCGACTACTGTGTATATTGGGATAAATCGACCGACTATCAACTCCTGTGTATATTGGAATAAATCGACGGACTATCGACTACTGTGTATGTTTGTATAAATAGACGGACTATCGACTACTGTGTATATTGGGATAAATCGACCGACTATCAACTCCTGTGTATATTGGTATAAATCGACGGACTATCAACTACTGTGTATATTGGTATAAATCGACGGACTATCGACTACTGTGTATATTGGTATAAATCGACGGATTACAAAACAATAGTTACAGTTGTAGTATGAGTTTATTTTATATTGATATAGAATGTTAACAATTTCACTCTTTCTCGCAAGAGCTGCACTTATTATCAATAATTTATAGAGGTGAGACATAATCGTAAGCCACCGAAAAAGTAAACTTCCAAAATGGAGATGACCCTTTAATACTCAGAAAAATACCAACCAGCTATGGAATAAAGTTTGATTTTTTAACTCATTACAAAGGATCGACAAATACACAATGTAGGTAACATGGGACGAAAGTGGTGCTTGACGGACCAACTCCAAACAAATAACTAGATAAATGTACTAGCCTTGTTACACAAAGGGTTTGGTCAAGCGTCGACAAATCGCCATTATCTACGTATAATTGAGATTTGAAGCATAGCACTTTCAAACAAAGAGTTAAATACCCCAATACTGCTAGCATTACCATTAACAATGATTGAATCATCAATATCAATATTTACACATTTTGTGTATCATTCCTCAACAAAACAACTTCATCCTTTTGTTCTATTCTTTTGTAGTAACGATTTAACGCAAAAAGGTCGAAGCCATATTATACAGATAAAAGCAAATATACACGACTACCAAACATTATAGAACATTGGATACAGAATAAACACATTAATGGTTCCTCTACGAATGGTGATTGGTTATCATGTTTAACTAAACCGACTTGGTTTTTAAATTGTATAATATCACCGAGTGTCTTTTACAATTTGAAATATAGCATTATTGGAGTTAGATACACGTGGTGACAGTATCGTTTGGGGACGTTTTCTTTCCTTTTACGTCCTGATTATATTGAAATCCACACGTTGATCTGCAGTATTTGTGGGGGAAAACGGTTGTCACAAACACGGTATATATACAATGCACACGGTTGAAATGGATAATATGTCAAAATTACACTCTTAACATACCATTAAATCGCAAATGTACACGGTATTAAAATGCAATGCACACTGTTAAAAGAAGCATATCGTATAGAGCAATGAAACACGGTTATCGTACAAGGCCAAAGAACACAAGGAGAATAGAGACTATATAGTAAATACACTATTTTAATGTCGTGTACATGTTGGACGGTAAACTTTTCGCACCTGAGAGTACACTATATTTACTAGCTGTTCAGGTAATGCAGTTCTAGCCCCCAGCTAAAGTCTGGTCAACTTATTGCCGAATACAACATGTATGCCGCGGGCTCTTCGGAATTATAACTATCGTCCTTTTTGAGCTCTGGTGGGTATTCTGACAGAACCGCGTACTGATCCCAACGCTGCAATCATGGTTAGTTATTCTACCTCACTTTTTTATTTACTTTATTCCATTTTGATCGAAACTGGACTATTGTTTATCATTATTTGTCATCTCATAGACCAACAATTTTTCAATATCTATACATTATTGTGGTACTTATTTTGTCGTGAAATGAACTTTGATAACATAAACGATATTCAACAGTAAATAAATCACAAACTATAGATTGAAAGTTTAAAAATCAATTTTCTTAACAAAAAATATATTGTACCCCCAAAACGTTTATTAATATATGTTTAAAATGCAAGTTGCTAATTGCTCTAAAACAGAAAAATATATTGTAACTTTTGTATATTTGTTTTGCATGGCTAGGTATCCAAATAAATCTGTGAACATCGAATCTGAATGTTTTCCAAAGAAAATGAAGAAAGAAAAAATAATGTTCAAACATTTTGTCAGTAAAAATAAGTTGTAATTTTCATAAAGGAGTAATCATTTATCAAATTGAATTGATCTCATCATGTCTTGCTAGATGTTTCCTTTTCTTTTTCGTTTTGTTTTCCACAGATATTACAAACGCAGTTGCTAGATTGAATTATTGGTCAAACAGGTCAATTTATTGAAGTCTTTCAGTTAATTGTCAACACCTAGTGAACAGAAAGTCACCGTTTGTATCAGCTTCCGACATAGCTTTCACAAGGGTTCTCAAACGCCGACCAAACTCACGTTTATAATGACGTAACGTACATGTAGGAATGAATAAATAATGATGACGGATGATCGACTTCGGGGTCTTTTATGTATCTATATACTAAGAGGTAAAGCTAGGTTATTTACATCCGTATATGCTGCGATCTAACGGTGACGTAATAATGACCGAAACGTTGGAAATCTCCTCCAGCTGTTTGCTGATGTAACGTTGAAATACTACCTCACATTGGATCAATTATCATTAATCTGTCTTTATTTGACATTCACACTTACTATTAAATCCAGCTGAAAGCATCTTAATACTTAATTTTATCAATTTTAAAATATTTTAATCTGATAAAAAAAATAAAAAAAAAATGACCAAAATTCAAATTTTTGGTTTATTTTGCATAGGTGTGTGCATAAAGTATGCATGGTCATATATCAAGAGTTTCAATTAATTGTGTATAAACGTTTGTGACGCTTTGAACACTACAGTTCCGTTTTTATCGATCTCACAATTCGCTAAAGTGCATCATGGGTACATATTTGGACTGAGCTGTGTAGCATGCATTCATCCATGTTAAACTATGTTAAGTCATATCCTTTGTCGGCGAAATTCATTTGATAGTTTTGTTCAATGTGCAATCACAGGGAAATCACATAACAAGAAGTGTTCAGTGTAGATACATATATTTGGCTAAATGCTAGACCTATTGCCCTATGTATACATGTATGAAATTATAAATAAATTACATTTGTTCTTTCTAGACAATAGTTTCCTATAAATATCGTTTTTTTATGTTTTTGCACGTTATTCTTTCTTAACGAAGCTATTTTCAATTATTTTCAGATCTGGCGAAGGATTTTAGGAATAATTCTTTTTCTTGACTTTGCATTGAATGTGTGCTTGTCACGGCAGTTAAGTGTACGAAATCCACAGCTTCCGGTAAGTAGCACTCGAGTATGGCGAGCAAATGGATCCAGTCGAGATATCATGGGTGGTGCTATATCTACGATAGGCAACACACCTGAATTTTCGGGTCATAATCGTTATATTTCATTTCCACATCGCAGACACAGAGTCGATTACTCTGAACAAGCGCAACGGTCCAATCTGCAGGATCCCGTGCTCAGTGAACGTCATGACAATGAAAGAAGTGTTGGAGGAACCGCATTAAAGCAAAGAAGGAAAAAGACATTCAAACAGATAGTTCAAGAAAAGTTAGTTATACAAATCAGTAAGTATATATATATCGATGCAAATATCACCTAGGATCATTTTAGTGTATACGAAATCGTAACCAATTGTAACAGCCGACTGACCTTTTTACGACTAGACATGAACACTCGACATGCGGACAGTCTATAAATAATAATACATAGACATTACATACACGTTAACAAGATTGACGTCATCAAAACTTTCACATGTTTCGTCAGAAGATTATGTGACAGAGCACCAAATAACATGTACAGCAATTATACCGATGGTATGGCAGACATAACGCAAGAGTCCATAAAAGTATTCAGTACTGAAAAGTGTTAAGTTGATGGGAAAAGCCACGCTATCACATACACACTCCTTTATTTCAGGTTGAATTAAAGATCTTATGAAAAAATATTAATTTTGCCAAACTTTTAAAGACTCAATAAAACACTGGATCTAATACCACAAGCATGTGCTTTATGATATTCTATTGAGCAGTAATGGGTTGAATATATATATACTTTTAGTATGTAATAGAGTCGTTTTAAAAATCAAAGGAAATAAAAATAGTTACAGAGTCCGGCGTGGACTATTTATATTATCGGTAGCACACTTGGATGTAAAGATGTTTTGATAGGTAATCGAACCGGACGAATTGTATAGGCCGGTTGTTCGAAAACGCTTCCGACCGAGTAACCGGTTAATCGTTCAAGTACAAGTTCAAGTTCTTTATTACCTTGGGTCTTTTGACCAATCGGTTTCAAAAGTGAGATATATTCACAATTACAATTACATTAAATAGATTTATCATTTTAAACATACTTGTCTTTTTACATAGTACTTTTTCAAAAATTTAACACGCAAATTCGAATAACATGGACATTTCAACATAAAATGAAACTCATCTTCAACATCATTTAAATTACATACAGTACACACTCTAAGACTACGCTCAATATTTTGATATCTACCTTTTTCTATATTTAGATTATGAGCAGATAACCTAATTTTTGTAATCTCTTTCAAATATTCTCTAGATAATGGTTTTCTTAAGTAACACTGTAAATAAAACTGGTTATAAAGATATGTATAGATATATCCCTTTGAAGATGTTCTAACGTTTTCTTTGATTCTTTTTTTTTTTAAATATCAATAAGTCTTTCTCTAATAACATTATAACACATATCATCATTTTTTTCTGTTTCTCATATGTAACCAAGGCCAATTCTAAATAAATAATTTTTTATGTTTAAAACACATTTATCCTTATTCTCTAACATATCTTTATAACATGCTTGCAAAATACAATTACTAGTCCTTTTTAACTTAATCCAATATTTAATAATTCTTAACTTTCTTACCAATGACAATAGATACCTCCCAAGTTCTAAATAAACCATAATATTACAAGTATTTTTTTCTTACGCCAAGCAGTCGTTTACAAAATAAAGTATGAGTTTTTTAATATCTGGGGCTTTATGAACGCCCTATATTTCAGAACCGTAGCTTAGAAGGCTATTTACATACGTATCAAAAACTGATAATTGAGTTTCAATATTTAAAAAAAAATCCGACATACATTCATAACTGAAACAAAGCCTTTCTTCCCTGATCTCCGCATTTTTTTTTATTTTTTTTTAAATGTTCCATTGTAATTAAGTAAGATTCCTAGGTAGTTAAATTCATTTACAATTTCTAGCTGACGACCATTGTATTTCCAACATTCATTATTTCTCAAAATACCCCCATTTCGAAACACAAGAATTTTTGTTTTAACCGTATTGACTGTTAGATCCCATTTGTTTGTGTACGATTCTAAAGAGTGTAACATATCTTGCAGACCCTATGGCGTTTCGGAAAAAACATCACCATGTCGTCAGCGTACATCTAAAGGAACAGATTCAATGTTTGAATTTCTATCGACTGACAGTTGTCAATTAAAAATTGCATTTCGCAATCATTTTAAAACAATAATGGCGATAAAATATCACCTTGAAACAATCCATTTTCAAAATTGAAATAATTGGATAATGAACCATTATGCTTAACACAACATTTAACAATACTATACAATGACCTTATTAGGTTTGATAATCTCCCATCAATGCCTTCTTTTATCAATTTGAACCACAAGTTTTGTCTATTGACGAAATCAAAAGCCTTTGAATAATCAATAAAGCAACAGTATAATATTATTTTACGTTTAAGAGGGCGGTTATTCAAAGACTGTAAAGCAAATATGGCGTCAATAGTAGACAAGTTTTTCTTAAAACCAAACTGAGTATCCGTTAGTTTACTATATTTATTGGTCAAATACCACAAGCCTATTATTAATGATGGACGTGAAAAGTTCCCCAAACAGTTCAGTTTGGTAAATCGACTACAAATACATCGTAAATTTCTATTCAAAATGAATTGACGCTTCAAATATATATTTTTACGATATTTATTCACAAATTTTAAGCTAAGATCACCTAAACGCAAGTTTATTTTATTGACAACAAAGGTCTTTTCATAAAGCGACATACAATACCAAATATTTCCATTCGACTTTTTTGTACTTTACTGATATCAATCAATTGTGAACTATTCGAAATTATTTTACCTTCCGACATTAAAAGCGAGTTCTACCTCGTGAAGTTGTCATTTTACAACTTAGCATTCTGGCTCCCTTTCAACATCTGTTTAGGTTCTTTATGACGTGTGCTTACACCTATTCTAAATGTCAATAGGTTTGGTCGTTAGCGATTCCAAGATTGTTTTATAGCTTAATGATTGTTTCGTTACAGTACATCATTACATTGCCTGGGATATTTGTACAGTTCCCGTCGAGAAGGCGGCTACCTTCGTCTTGCCTAGCTCGATATTTCTGTCCACCGCTGTTGAACGCTTTTGTGCTGCTAGTAAGTATTTTAACAGGAGAATTTCGAAAATTATGCTGCAGTCATGTATCAGTGACGTATAATTCATAGACGTCACTTCCGCTTAAATTTCTAATATATGCGTAAGTATTGTGAATAATGTAAACGTCGTAAATTCTCTCTACTGATGAAATGAACTGTGATTTGTTAACATCAAATTTGCCATTAAATAGAACAAACAGGTTGTTAGATTTTGATGAAACAGTCATGTTTCCCTCTGACATCATCCACATATGGAGAAATGAGGGCCACTTTTCCTCATAAATATTAATGAGGGGCGGATCATGTTTGATCACGTGATCATCAGAGTTTTCCCGCGCCACAATGGCAACCAACAGAGAAAAAAAATGTTCCCAGGGTCATTTTAGTTACGATTTTGGCGTATTTTAAGACAACTCTGTAGAATAAAATTTACCAACTGGTCACATTGAACGAGATTTATCAAAGATAATGGGAACGGGAGTTACATAACTTCTTAATATAAGGAACAATATAGAATATATAGCCAGACAGCTGTCATTCTCGCACCTTCTATACTACCGATGAAGGAGCATAAACAATGTGCATTTAGTACTTGTTAAGTCTTCACTATATACAAATCGTATTTTATTTAAATGTAAGAAGACATTTAAGATGTTAGTTGTGAAAAATTAACCTACAAAATCTTCGTGGTTAACGAGATTTTGGTGTTTTAAAATCAGAAATTTGCGAAAGTTCAAGGGGCCCCCGAAGGGGTAATGTAATTCAACTGCACGGTTGGTTTTAAACTAAAATTCCAACAAGTGAATCTATAGCATATACGTTGTAATCAAACGTGTGTAAACAATTAAAAGGTGTGGTATCTTAAAAAAGTTGCATAATTAGAATAAAACAAGACCAAATATGACGATTGCAATCTCATATATATTGCAGTAGTACAGTTAGTATACGTGATAAAAAGATTCTAAAACAATATGGACAGAATAATCATGGGCTGACGGATGTTACTGAGGACTATGTATATTTATATGTAACAGATGAGGGGTGCAAGACGTGAAACAGTCTATCCCGGAGAGAAGGATTACATTTATATGTCTTAGATGATTATTTCGGAGGCAAGGCTGGAATACCAGCTCTTTTTCAAATATTGAATTTAAATATAGTTAGTTGGAACGACTGATACATTTACATATTTCATTCAACAATAAGGCAGACGGATTGACTTATCAATTAAAAAATATAACAATATCGATTAGCTTCAAGTACATGTATCATTATGCTTTAATTTTTCGTCCTGAAAATCCGTTTTTGCTCCTATTTTGACGTATGAAAATTATGAGGTGATCGAGCATGTACGTTCATATGTGATACCAACTTAGAATAAAAGATTGTCTACACATTTATTAAACAACGTTGTCTGAAACAGGGACAAACTTTATGTCACGGCATGTTCTGGGAAAAAATACCCAAAAAGAAATATTAAAAAATTTACATATACATGTAACATGTAAGATCAGTGAGAAGTTGTGAGTTATGTTTTTTGAATCACGTGGCCATTCGTGTACAATAGCATTCTTGTAGTTCTACCCACAGTAATATATATCAAATTCAGTTTATCTGAAAGAATTGAATAAGTAAATATTTTGAATGAATCCTTTTGGTGCCTCTTTCAAGTCGAGAGAGTGTCACAAAAACATGGAGACTCCTCCTTTCACTTTCAGAAGAATACGATGTTTTTACATAATCCCCTATCGTGCCCCTTTGATTTTATGTCAGATTTAGGAAAATCCACTTTTCAAATGCTCCAGGAACCTCGGATATTGCAAATATTCTTAAAACACCTCATAAACTGTGTTTTTCTAAACCGCAAGTTACCGAGCGAATCTCGGCAACTTATCTAGGTCATGGAGACAGCATCGAAAAATCCGATTGAAAGTGCAGAAAATGGCTATTTGGTCGTTTTCCAGTATTCGATCGCATAGAACATATAGGCGCCCTCGCTTCAAAAGTTCATCTACTCCAGGAACCTCGAGTTTTTAATGGATCGCGCTTATTAACTTGTAATCCATATTTAGACGGTATGTAGGGAAATTTCACATCCCGGCAAATAATATCCGGATTACTATCCAGCCGATAAACGCAAAAACTTAAAGCCCATAGTGTTATCCTAATGGGCCAAATGGCCGCCATATTATCCAAGATGGCGGATTATGCAAATTAGCAAAGTGACCGTCATTTCTCCATATGCACGCAGAGATTGCGATGAAAACTCCATGACGGTATCTGCCATGCCCGGTAATGTTACTCAATAACCCAATACCACACTCGCTCCTTTGCTGAAGAAGAACGTATCAATATAATATTATAATTGAATGACTTAAAGTGACTTTTTACACAAAATAATTAGAAAATGAACAAACGCGTGATGTTGTTTGACTCAATTAGTACATTTCAGGCAATGGCTTTTTTTCTTCTGAAATTGAACATTGGAACTGATATATAGAATGATGATTTCCTTCCTTACATCTTCACAGCCTCTTAACCAATAGTTTAGTGGGTTCGGATTTTTGCTTATGCAATTGTGATGCTTAGGAAATTTGATTAACTGAAATAAAGATACTGAATAAGTTACTGAAAAACATGCAGCTATGTCTAAATATTGCGGAGAATATAATAACTATTTCTTTTTATGTGTCAAACAGTATATTTCTGTCCTGGTTTTTGAGTTTATAAGCTAAAGTCGTTAACGCTGTTTAACAAGAGTTTTTGTTAACCTTGTTACTTTTTTTTCTATTTCAGGAGTGTTTAAACTGCTGAAACCCGTTTTACAACCCGTAGTGAGCAAATTGAATCAGGGTATAGAAAAGAGAGTTGGACCAGAGGCCGAGGAGCGGAAACAAAATATAATCTTCAAGAGATACGGATTGTCCACATAGTGCCACCAAGAGTCAACAAATAATGACAACAACCATCAACTACAGCTATGGGATCGCACAACGTTACACGATGTGCGATGTACGCACGATGTGTGCACGTTGTGTGAACGATGTGTGCATAGTGTGTTAACGATGTGTGCACGGTGTGTTAACGATGTGTGCACGGTGTGTGAACGATGTGTGCACGGTGTGTGAACGAAAAAAATGGAAGATGGTTGCTTGTGTAAATTGAGGAATGGCTTAACAATATAAACGGTTTGGTGTTTAAACTTATTAACTTGATTTATTAGTATGGTTCTATATTCTAGCTACATATATAAGCTTATCTTTCTGTCTATACTTTCTTAAATTTAGAAATTTTGTTTACCGTGTTTTTTGAAGGCCTTAATCGACACATGTAAAATTACAAAACAGTCTCGGCAACACAGGTAAACATAGCCAGTTTGTACCACGACCGTAGTTTTTCCCCGCCCGGGGCACTAACGTAACTCGCCAAGGTGGGAAAACCAGGTGAAGGGGAGCTATAGATCAAAACGAATGCAAATAACGGTGTCGTCTCACGTAGCATACATTTGGTATTTTCGTATATACAGGTAAGGTGTTGGATGTATGCTAGGTGAGATTTGGTTTCAAATATATTTTATTGATTAAACAAAATGATTGAGCAACAGGCTTTGCCTATATAAGCTCTCTCCATGGCTTCCAGCATACTTTTGATATTTGAAGACATTGAATACAATATTTACATACATATATTTTATTCCAACTTATCTCATGACACTTGGTTACATTTATTGCTAGGTAATATACATTAAATAGGCTGGCTTAATATTTTCATGTTTCAACAGAAAAAAAAAGAAAAAAAAAATCCTTGAAAAAAAAAATACAAACTTTGCGATATTATTATTTAATATAGTCGTAAAATTTGTGTCAAGAAGAATTAAATATACCGTTATGAATATACACAGTATTTAAATCGAATTAAATATATGGATATACGTCTTGACCTTGAGCAACTAAAATTTGCTACGGCAACATGAAATAAAGCAAAACTGATACATGCATGTATGCTGATAAAGAAATGTACCAGGACTTAATTGAAGTAGACATGTCTTGAGATGAGTTGAAAAATCAGATAGAAAATTAACTAAAAGAAAACAGAAAAAAAAATATAAAAAAATACAAAATAAAAAAATAATAATATGAAAACACAAAAAGACATAAATAATTATATAAGAACACAAAATAATCTCAATCACTCACTCATACACTCTCACACCACATTTGTATCTACAGGCATGGGTTTGTTGGTTTATTTAATGTAGTTTATATTTGTTTTAAATGAGATTTGGTGTCAGTTAGAGAACAATAGGATTTAATTACAGGTAAACTATAGTCTGTACTATAAAGTGTCTTACCATGTGAATATGAACGTATACATAGGATTGATTTTTGGTGTAAAATTTTATTTATTTATAAAATTGTTTCCACTTCATCTATTATAGTCTTCATCATAATAATAGAGAATATCAGATGAAATGTCGTAACTTTACATAGTATTACAATACAATACAATTTGTTTTATTTAAGTGTCACATATCGATATACATTGAAACTACAGCAGATTTTACAAAAAGTAAAAGCTATTTCAAAATTTAAATGGATCAGTTTTCGACATCCAGCCAAATCTGGCTTATGAGACACTAAAAGTCATTATCACACCTTAACATAAGTAAAATCACTAGCACTGTACATAATTATATAAAGTTAAAACATAGGCGACTGCGATACATATGCTATAAAGCAGCGTCTAAAGTCGATAATACCGACCGGTTTCGACATGTAATTATAAATATATTGTGAGTTAGCGGACTGTGGAATGATGTCCAAAGTGTACATGACTGAGGGTTATTTGGTTCCATTAAAGAACAATAAATTGATGATTTTGATATCATAATTTTGATTTATTTCCATCATTTTTGTTATATGTAAACAGAGACAACTGTCATTGTGTAAATGTCATCCCTCTGTAAAAAGTTCCGATTTTTTTCAAGGAAGATAACTCTCACCCGGATCAAAGTGATTGTAAAATGTAAAATAAATTAATTATAAAGCCATTGTGTATATTTTGTTCAATTTCCCACTCTATATGTATAGATCTTTGTGTCCTGTTTGCTTTTAGCTTGTAGATAATCACTTTTATCCGTACAAATTCAATAAAAAACACTTTGTGTAACATGTGTTACATATTTTGCGATAAATAAAATATTTGTAGGNCCACATACAAAAAAAAAAACCGGAAATATTAAAATTGACGAAAATTCATTTTCATTTCCCAAAAAAGTCCCCAAACTATCGGAATTTTTAGATTTTCATAAATTTTACTCTACATAGTTGCATAACCATTATATGAAAGTTTCAACGAATTTTGCTGGTTAATTGCGAAAGTGTGGAGCCACCTTAACCAAATTATTTGCCGGGATGTGAAATTTCCCTACATACCGTCTAAATATGGATTACAAGTTGATTAGCGCGATCCAATAAAAATTCGAGGTTCCTGGAGTAGATGAACTTTTGAAGCGAGGGCGCCTATATGTTCTATGCAATCGAATACTGGAAAACGACCAAATAGCCATTTTCTGCACTTTCAATCGAATATTTCGATGCTGTCTCCATGACCTAGATAAGTTGCCGAGATTCGCTCGGTAACTTCCGGTTTAGAATCAAAGTACTGAAAGTACTCCAGACACATGCTTTCTTGATGTTGCAATATTTCCATAGTTATATACATGTACGTGTATATAACATTTTAGGAAAAACGAACACAAAACAGTCAGTTGAGATGCAGGATAAACACCATTTAAATTTCCTGAAAATAATGTGAACGAATATTTACTCTTATCTAATGTCTGTGTTGGCAATAGTTTGAAATTCCTCCGAGGAACAACAACAAGTACTACTTCAAGAAGCTTTGGGCTCTGCTTCTGCCATAAAAATAGAGTTGACTTCCGAATAAATAATTATATGACTGTTGCAATATCTCATTAGTGCCTATTGGTAGAGGGTGAAACATATACTTCCTACAGACCATAAGCAGTGCACGTGTGTCACAAATGTCTTTAGGTCAGCTAGGATTTTTCCATAGGTCATATGTCAGTATACACCTCTTCGTATGATTATGTTAATGGTAAAGTTCTGATTCTAGGACATACCAATACGAGGCTCGATACCCATAAAGGGGTCCCATGAACTGTTGCAAAATGCACCAACCAATTAAGAAAGTGACTAGGTGGGGAGGATATGTGAGGGAGCTATGGTCTCAACTAGAGGGGAGTTCTCCATCAAGGAAACTTTTGAGTTTTTGATGAGATATCATGTATTCCCAGTGTATCTAAAAAAACAAAAATGTGATAAAATGGCTTTGCTGGACACTTTTGAATCCATATTTGGCCACAACTGCACAGCATGTATACAATGTCTGGCAATCATGCAGTCCATTTAATGATCACATGTTATATCTTTATTGCAGATAACAATATCTTCTGTTCCAATCCAGTTGTTTTTGATAATTGCAGCCTCTTTGGATTTATTCACATCATCAAAATCTTCCTGTGCTGCCTGAAATACAAGAAAGAATACATCATTTAATGTTTTGGTTTTTATTGTTACAAAGTTTATTATTTTATATAATATCTAACTGTCATTTTTATTAGTCATGCTTTTTCCATTTTCAACGGTTTTATTTTATTCTATTTAGAACTGACCAGGGGCGGATCCCATTCTGCTTTATTTTGCTACACATGTAATCTGAACCATATAATGTTGCACAAAATTAAGTTAGATACCTATCTTGGTTAGCCACCTTGTACTTTCACAACTTGCATTTTTAAAGTAAAATACCATAATGGAATGAATCATGAATATATATATATATATTGTATATATTTACATGTATCTCAATTTTCACCAGAAAAAAACCCTGTTTATTCATCATGCAAGAAAAAGATTCTCGGATTAAAAACTTGAAATTTAACACGTGTACCCTGTTACTACTACGGACCACTGACCTAACAGATACACACGTCTCAATCATGGTTCGCTGACCAATTTAATTAATACTGGGAAAGTGTCAACAGTTTAACACCGAGTTTATAAAAATGTAAGAGGAGAGGGGACAGATATTGCGCGGGCAGTGTAATACACAAACAGTTACAGAATCAATACACAAGAAATGAAAATATCAAAATCAGATAAGCTTGCTACGCACGCAATGAAGCCAAAACATAATATATTGACTTCAACATCAATATGATCAAAGTGCGTCAGAGACGTGGACTATATATTGGCTTTATACAAGCTTGGGGATGATACATAATATCATTCTGGAGTTTCATTTATATTGCACACTGTCTATGTCGGAACAAATTAACATTATTCACCGATTCAGATAACGTACCTTGCCACGCAATCTTTACAAAAGTATTCAGTTCACAAGTCAAGATACTCGATGATGCAGTCGGCATAGTACTGCAATATGCCAATCGGCCAACGTAGGGATGAGTGCTTAGGGATTTCAAGCCCCCGACAATTCAATAAACTTATGCCCAGAATATTTCCTCTGTTAAAAACAAATTATTACCTGACCACATGCAACATTTGAAATGTATTTGGAAAGTGCAATGTCTTGCATTGCACCACAGGAGTCCGCAATTCCGTCAGAAATAAATAACAACAGCACAGTGGAAGCGGCTAATTATGATATTCTATTGACCACAGAAAAATAATATAATAAACGATATAGATTGTCTGAACCGGAAGTGAGGATGTGGAAACCTGATAAAATATTGATACAAATTGATGAAGTAATAATTAAAATCATTTGTTAATTGTCATTAAATATAAGCTTGTTGTAAAAATTCAAGAAGATTTCATTTTGTCGTCGTAATGATCAGCACGGACTTAGATAATCTAAATCAGTATGTAAATTCTACTTTCACTTTCAAATAACTTCGAGCAAGAACTATAAGAACTTCATGTATCGTTATACTTCATCCTAGCTAACGATATCGTAATGTAACAGTCAATAAGATGAAAGAAGTGATATATATAGTCATGAT